CAGTTCTTGTATTGAGACCCTGTAAAGGAAGGGTGGACCTATAAAGGTGTTTATTGTCATGTAAATGTTCAAGCATGACAGCGTTTGATAAGAATAGAAGGTCACTTATTGGATTCACCAAAAAGAAACCACATAAAATGAAAAATAAATGATAAATCTAGTATTAAAGAACTTAGCATAAAAGGAAATTGAACAAGCACACAAAGAATTAATGTGACTTTTCATTCTTGTGGCACTTGCAGGTCTGTAGAGCTGGTTTTTTTGTTATGAAAACTTTCTATAACCATTTTTCACTGTTTGAATGACCATGTTTGATCCATCAACCTCCATTATTTTCATATGACATAGTGATGGAAACAAATGATGCACTAACAGTCAATGGATGCATCTTAAATGATGCTTCAGCATGCAGACAAAAATAATCCTCAGTAGACTAGGTACCACTATTCTGTGCAAAATGGACAAAAATGGCACAATCCTAATAGGTTCTAACAGCAATATACAACATCCTGATCTTTTCCATTCTTTCCTGGTGAACAATGTATCCTTTTGAGAAATATTCCTTGGATTCTGATAAAGTTCATACAGAAGTCCTTGAATGAGTATGATAATTGTGTATTCCTAGATATTCTCTATTTGATCTAGAAGTAGTTCAAACAATTGTGCTTATTTGAAAGCCAGTCTTGTTATGCTTCCTTTGTATGAGGTTGAATTAAAAAATGGGATTTTTTTTCCTTTTTATCTTTTAAGGTAATATTTTCTTTAAAAAGAAAATTAAAATTAAACTAAAATAATGAGCAGAGCAAACATTATGAATATGAGCTCCATACTGAAAGCTAAATATAGAAAACATATTGAGCCTAGTATAGAAATGTTCTTGCAAAAAAAATGAATTCTATGTCAAGCTGTGTGCACAAGGATTATCTTTGTTTTCTCTGCCAAAGTGTAATTTTTACTTTGCAAGAAAAAAAATGTGGACTTTAATGTCAGTCTTCCCCCAGCTTGTTGTAGCACTAACAATATGACTTGAAAATGATAACATTGGTTCTTCAATATATTGCATAGGTGTATAGCACATGCTGTCTCAGGAACTAACTGTGGGAAATTTCATCAGTGCATTGACCATGTTTGTGCCTAGTAGAGGAAAATCTGTGGGATCCTTGGTGCTCTATGTTGACTTATTATCCAACTTTGTAACATCATCCTATCAGTTTTTAAAACTTCCCCCTCTGTCTGCCTGTCTGTCTGTCTGCCTCTCTCTGTATCTCTCTCTCTCTGTATCTCTCTCTCTTTCTCTCTCTCCCTCTCTCTCTCTCTTTCTCTCTTCCTCCCTG